TGGAAGGCTCCTTCATGGTGATGGTAGCAGCGGCAGCAGTTGGGGATGCAGACTATTTAGGAGCCAGCAGCAGTGCTTTGATGATGCACGTCACCTTGCCCCTGTGACACCACGATGCAGCCTTTAATGCTCTGTGGAATGTGGACAACACGGCAGACAGAATCCTAATGGGTCCTGAGTCTGGAGCAGTACGGCATTCGAGTGATTCTAATTCCTGGGAATTACAAATATCCCCCTTTTGTGTGAGCATGTGTACGTGTTTTTGAGACAAGATCTTGTATGTAGCCCAGGCTGGCCTTGAACTCATGACAGTCTTCCCGCCTCAGCCTCCCAAGTGCTGGGATTACAGGTGTGTGCACCACCACACCTGGCTACAAATATCTCCACTTTAGACAAAAGTAGACAACAGAGTTCCCCCCCCAAAACATTGTCCACCTGAAAAACGCTGCTTCTTTAATTTTGTTATATTTGTCAAAATAAAAAGGCCATCTCTCTAATTAGCATGGCTACTTTTTCCTAGCTCAGGTAAATCATGTAGAATTTCCACTTAATAACTGATCAAACCAGCTTCCAAATAGTCTCCATTTTTCTTGCTTGCTTGCCTGTTTAATATTTCTCTTGAACTTAGCATGTACTAGGCATTAATCTAGGCACCTTGCTTGCTGTAGCTTATTCTCCTGGCAAGCTGAAGAGGTAGGTGTTACCGTTGCCTTTTACATCTGAGCACTCTGGGGTCCTGGGTTGTGAAGGAACCTGCCTAAAGTAAGACAGCTATAATGGGACGGAGCTCACCTCTTATTTCGAGGCCCATGAACATAATCACTGAACACGAGGCCTTCTTTGGTTGACTCGTGAGCTTTGTCTACAGAGCAGAAGAGGACGCCAACATCCACTGAACTAGAGTATCCTAGAGGGATTCTCACTTTGCCTCTTTAGACTTGCACTCTGTTGGCATCATTAAAAAATAGATGTTTACCATAAAGGAAGTGTAAAGATGAGGGTAATCATGGATTTAGGAGGAAAGAGTCATTTTAAAACAGAGGGTCTCAATGGGGAGAGAAGTAATCACTCAGTGCCACGTGCCTAAGGAACAGACGTTCCTACTGTTCTGTTCTCAGGGGACTTCGTCACCCCGAAGTAGGGATGTTAGTTAAATTTTCATGAAGAACAAGTACAAAAGGACTTGAAGCCAAACTAATCAGAACCTTATGGATGTCACTTTGGAAACTGACTGTTTACTAAATTGTGTAGCAACCAGTGAGACCGGTTTGGGAAAAAATATCAGGCATGAATTGAGTACTGTAGTGGAGTCTTTTCTTTTGTTCTTTCTTTGCAGTGCTGGGGAAGGAACCCAGGGCCTCTTGTTCCCTAGGCTAGAGCTCTAAACCCTATTGTGGGGTTAGAGCCCAAGTCCTATTGTGGGGTCTTTTTATTTTCTTTCTCTATTTTTGGAGACAGGGTCTCACTATATAGTTCAGACTGGCCTCAAGCTTGTAGCTACCCTTTTGCCTCAGCCTCCCAAGTGCTGGGCTTACAGGATGCACCACAATGCCAGCTCCTATTATGGAATCTTGAAGAATAAGATATGATCTGGCAGTCGGAAAAGGCCACACAATTATTATATGGTGGTAACCAGCTCAATTAGGTCAGGGAAGACATTCTTATGAGCTTAGGGAGATTTTTTCTATTTTAATCAGGTCAATTTTGCATTTTATAGGCCAATTTTCCTACAATAATATAAAAATAGCTGACATTTTAAAGTGCTGAGTATACTATATATATGTATATGTGCGTGTGTGTGTGTATATATATATATATATATATATACATACCTATGCATAAACAGGGTGATACATATATTATTTCTTTAATTCTCATAGCAATCCTATGATGTACATACTATTTTAACCTTCATTTCAGAGTGGTTTGTTGAATTGCTTGACATTGTTCAGCTAGTAAATGATGAATTGGATGTGTTTCTTCAGAGTCCAAGCTTTTATCTGCTATGCTATTTACTAATTTCGTTTATCTAGGGAGGTGTTCTCCGTGGACTAGCAAAGAATGGAACATTCCTGATTAAAAACCATATTGATAAGCAGTGATTAATCTCATTTTTAAAATATCTCTTGAATCTCTATTCACCTTTCTCCATCTTTTTTTTTTTTTTTTCCCCAGTACCAGAGGTGGGATTGAACTTGGGACCTTGTGCTTGTGAGGCAGGCACAGTGCCACTGAGCTAAATCCCCAGACCAGTCTTTCTCTATCTTGACTATCACCACCGTAGTGCAAGGTATCACTGTCCCTGAAAAATGATAATAGTCTCCTGCTTCCACTTTTACTTTTTCTCATTTTTCTTCAAAATGGCCTTGATAAAACATGAAGAGGACTATGGCCCTTCCTTGCTTAATGCTTCCTTGCTTTGATGCCAGCCCATTTTCCCACGAATGCCTGCCTTTTCCTTTATCCTGTGCAGTCTTTTCCTGCTTTATTCAAGGGTTGCAACTCCAGCCTTTAGAACAGGGGTTGTACATGATAGAAACTAAATGAATTCTTGTTGACTATTAGGAATCTGACTGATTTCTTTCTTTTTATGCATGTGTTAGGCAAGCAGTGATCTACACCCTGCTGAGTTTTAGAGAAAAAAATTATAAACTGGGTGTGGTGTCACAGCACACCTGTAATTTCAGCACATGGGGAGGCTGAGGCAGGAGAAGCACAAGTTCAAGCCCAGCTTATGCAGCTGAAGGAGACCCTGTCTTGAAAAAAGAAGTAAAAAGGGGACTGGGGATGTAGCACAGTGTGAAAGCCATGGGTTCAACTCCCAGTACTGCAAACAGAGATTACAGTCACTTAAATAGGAAAATTAACGGGAATAAATTGGGAGGTATGCAGGCAGGTTCTGCATAATTTGCAATCACAGCTTACTTGTTTGTGTTACTGTCTCAGGCCCCGCAGACGTTAAGCTCTGTGGGACAGTGACCGGGCTTTGTTCTCCACTCTACTGTAGCTGTAGTCAGTTCACGGGAAGGACTCAAATATTTGTTACATGAATACTTTCAATTAGCATCATGAATCGCAAGGAAAGGAATCAAAAATGACAAATAGTACAGGTTAGGGCAGAATTGGAACAGGAAAGTGTAACATTAGTTATGTGAGCTATAGAGGGTGAGATTCTTTCATTCACTCAAAAAATATTCACAAGATATTTGCCTTGCACCAGACACAATGTTAGGCACAGCCTCTACTGTCATGGAACTTGTAGTCTGGTCTGAAATAAACAGGCAATTAACTTAGTGAGATAAATATTCTGAGGTAGGGCAGGCAGAGACTCTCTCAGGGGCTATCTAGAGAAGACATTTAACTCAAGACTTTGGCTGGCAGGAAGGGATTTCTAAATTGTTAGTAGGTAAAGAAAGAGGGTAAAAGGCCGGGATTTAGCTCAGTGGTTCTGCTGCCTGCCTCACAAGTGCAAGGATCCACGTTTGATCCCTGGTACCAACAACAACAACAACAAAAAAGAGGGTATGGAAAGTGATGGAGAGTATTTGGGTGTGAAAAAGCCCAGAGGCAAGATGGCCTGTGTGACTCCCAACTGAATCCCTGCACTTGGGAGGCTGAGGCAGGAGGATGACTATTTCATGTCTGGTTACACAGCAAGGCACTGTCTTAAAACAAAACAACCAGAGGTACGTGAGCCAGTGGCAGGTTTTCTATAGCCTGAGGTTCCTTTTCAATTTCCTTTCATCCAACACATTTCTATTGAATTTATATCACGTGCTAGGCACTGTGGTAGGCCTTCATTAAATATATATTTTAACTAGTTGTTAAAAATGTAAAATTAGGGCCAGGGATTTGGCTCAGTGGTTCTGCTGCCTACTTCAAAGGGCTTGATTTTGATCCCCTGTACCAAAAAAAAAAAAAAAAAAAAAAAAAAAAAAAAAAAAAAAAAAAAAAGAAAGAAAGAAAAAGAAACTAAATAACCTGAAAAAATTGATAGGTATATTTTTGCCTGCCCAAATGTTTTGTTGATGCTTAATGTTTACCCATGTAACTAATCTAGACCGCCAGAAAGTAAAAAAGCACTGATGATGTTCAATAGAACCTTTCTCTTGGTTTTTTGAGACAAGATCTTGCTACGTGGTTCAGGCTGGCCTCAAACACGCAGTGATCCTCCTGCCTCAGCCTCTCAAGTGCTCGGATTACAGACGTGGGTAAACACGACCGGCTAATAGAATTTTTTTTTTTTTATGATGACACGATTTGCACCACGCAATATGAGTTATTAGCCACACAGACTGTGTAATACTTTAAATGTAGCTGATGCGACTTAATAAATGACACCCTCTCTCCCTCATCCCTGTTTTCGGCATGGAACCTAGGAAACGCTGCGCTACATCCCCACCCCCACTCTAATTTTATGATAGGCTCTTGCTAAATTGTCTAAGCCTTAGGGACTTCCTCCCTCAGGCTCACGAATAGGACATTAACACTAAATTTCAGTTAATGTTAATCTGAGCTTAAACTGTCTCATGTAATTAGAGGCTACTGCTTCGGACAGCTTAACCTGTTTAAATGGTTTTAGCCTGGCCCTGGAAACAGGTAGTTTCCTTCCGGTCTCTCCCCTAAAAATGCAGATTGTTAATAAAGGGTTATAAAAATCTCTAAATGCTGAGATGTTGAATGCTACCTATTGTAATATCTATGCATAGTGGCAAGCCATAATTAGCACCTTATCGCTGAATAGTAATTAACTTCGCTTGTCGGTATCTTCACAGACACTCACCCACCCCGGGGGAAAGCATGGAGGTCCCTAACCCCACCCTCCCCAGGAAGCCTTCGCGGCATTCTGCGATACCGAACTGGATCATGGGGTTTTTTTAGTTCAATTTGGCCGTGACGTCACTGCCGGTGTCTTTGCTGAGTGGACGTAGCCATTAGTCGACTTCCTGTAGCTCATTGTGTTCTGGGAATTGTAGTCAACTGATCATGTTGGGCGTGGACTCTCATGGTCTGGGAACTACAACCCCCGGCGGGCCAAGGGACGCACCCGGCTGTGATTACTAGTGAACGGGGAGATTGCCTCAGCTGACAATAAACGTGCTTTGGTGTCTGGGAGGTCTGGTTCCTCAGAGAGAGAGGGGAAAAATTGTAATCACTCCTTTGAGGGGATCACCTGGGTCACTCGTGGATTTCCAGAGTCTGCTTGGCGTAGTCATGGCGGTGAGTTTGGGCGGGAAGAAAGCCCGGTGGGTCGGGGCCCAGGAACCCGACTGGTCAGTCTCTAGGGGCTCTCTTATGTGTTAGGAATTGTCTTGCAGGGAAAAATCTCGTATTAAAAGAGAGGCTTTTCCCCTGCACGCTTAAGGCTTCAGCACCTTGGAGAATAATTTGCCGTTTCTTGCTAGTTGAAGATCTAGAAACTTGAATGACATGTACTTAACGAGTTTTAAAAACCTAGATGGAGAGAGGAATATGTAGTATGGGTTCTTTCTTTCAGCAAAAAATTGAGTGCCTCCCCATGAAACAGAAATCACCGTTTTCAGGAGGTTTACGTGTGTTGGGCCTATGTACTAAAATATGGGAAAAATACGTCAGTTGCCCACTGCGCTATGGAAAAACAATAGTGCAGAAGGTGGAGGTGGAGCTAGGGAGTATGGGTTGAGAGAGTACAGTTGGAATTTTAAAAAGCGTGGTCAGGCAAAGCTTTACTCAGAAGAGATCTGGTAGAAACAACAGTATGAGTGAAAAGCAAGGGGAGTTGTGTGGATAAAGGACGTTGAGCCAAGGAGTTGGGTGTAAGTACTATTAGGCTTTGTGTGTGTGTGTGTGACTGTAAAACCTTGGTTTCTTTCTTTGTTGTTTGCTTTTTTGAGACAGGATCTTATTGTGCAGTTCAGGCTGGCCTTCAACTCACTATGTAGCCCAGGCTAGCCTTGAACTTGCTTCAGTCCTGCCTCAGCCTCAAGTGCTGGCATTCCAGGTGTGCACCACCACTGGCTAAACCCTTATATTTTCATTGGAGTACTTTGCATAGATAAATGACAAGCCCCGATTACTTAAAAATTATTACCCTCGTTACTCTGTTGAGAGGGTGATTGATTAGACAGACATGAAAACAATATACAAGCAGTACGAGTTCTGAGTAATTGCTTGGGAGAAAACGATGAATACCTGAGTGAGCTGGAATGCAATGGTGGGCAAAAACCTAACTGAAGAGTGGATTCAAGAAGGAATGGGAGGGCCAGGAATTTAGCTCAGTGGAACCATGCCTGCCTCACAAGTGCAAGGTCCTGAGTTTGATCCCTGTTATAAAAAAAAAAAAAAA